CCTAGATAAATAGGCCTGCTTCATCAGGAAATGTGAGCAGCATATCTACAATATATCAAACAATGACTTTATTACATGAAAATATATAACATCACAGATTGCTATATCATATATTAAAATTGTTTTATAACATTCTTTTGTATAGAACCATACATCAAGCAAGTTAAGCACCCAAGCTCAATTCCCATTCAGAGGGGAAGCAATTAGCGGACTGCAGCTCTTGGAGCCAACCAAAGCACCAAGTCTAAAAATTATAACACAAATGAATATCACACATAAGAAAACTATAGTCCATCTCCAACAGGTTAGAATTCACCATCTTTTATAAATTTAAATGAGTAGCCTGGTCATAAAGGAAATTCCCATTTGAATGTATTTCAAATCCATGTACATATAGGGGTCTGTTTATAAAATTTCACACAGCTAATATGTATGATCCCCATTATGTCCTAAATGTTTACTTCCTGTGATTGCCAGCTCCTTATAGTAGCAATAATGTGGTATTTTCCCAATTGAGGTCTTTCAGGAAAATGCAGCATTATGGCCATTAGATGGGTCAGAAGAGCATAGGAAATAAACAAACATATTGGACACACTACAGGGATTTTTTGCGCAGTTAATTTTATAAATTTCATAAATGCACCCCCTATTAAAATAAGGTTTCACAAGATGTAAAATATAGGTGATCTACAATAGTTGTTATAAGACATGCAAAAGGTGTAGGTAAAAGACAGATGATATAAAACTTTAAAATGATACTAAACACACACTGTTTCATTTACAGTTGTGACCAAAATTATTCAACCCCCAATGCTGTAAAGGGGTTTAGGGACTATAGTGTACATTTGGAATTGTATTCAGAATCAAATCCTACAAGGACGTTGTAACTACCCAAATGCAACTAAAATGACATCAATTGTTTATGTAATACAGTAGTAAATGGTTCTTATGTGGTTTCTTCATTGCCACAATTATTCAACCCCTTAAAGACTACCACTCTGAAGAACAGAGGTTCATACAGGTGCTTTCCATCAGGTATTGAAAACACCTGTGGATGTCACCGAGCAGCAATCAAGCATAATAAGCACCAATTAGGCAGCTTTAAAATGACTGTGATACTCAGCTCCTTCTAGACATTTACTGGTGTGGTTACAAACATGGTGAAGGCAAGAGAATGGTCCAGGAAGACAAGAGAAGAGGTGATTTCTCTTCACAGGAAGGGCAATGGCTATAAGAAGATTGCAAAGATGTTAAACATACCAAGAGACACCTTAGGAAGCATCATTCGCAAATTCAAGGCAAAGGGCACTGTTGAAACGCTACCTGGTCGTGGCAGAAAGAAGATGCTGACTTCGACTGCTGTGCGCTACCTGAAGCGTAGAGTGGAGAGAAGTCCCCGTGTGACTGCTGAGGAACTGAGAAAAGATTTGTCAGATGTGGGTACAGAAGTTTCAGCCCAGACAATAAGACGCACACTGCGTAATGAAGGCCTCCGTGCCAGAACTCCCAGGCGTACCCCTTGCTGTCTCCAAAGAATAAGAAGAGTCGACTGCAGTATGCCAAAAGCCATGTGGACAAACCACAAAAGTTGTGGGATAGTGTTCTGTGGACTGATGAAACAAAATTAGAACTGTTTGGGCCCATGGATCAACGCTATGTTTGGAGGAGGAAGAACAAGGCCTATGATGAAAAGAACACCTTGCCTACTGTGAAGCATGGTGGAGGGTCAATCATGCTTTGGGGCTGTTTTGCTTCTGCAGGTACAGGGAAGCTTCAGCGTGTGCAAGGTACCATGAATTCTCTTCAGTACCAGGAGATATTGGATGGAAACGTGATGCAGTCCGTCACACACCTGAGGCTTGGGAGACGTTGGACCTTTCAACAGGACAATGATCCCAAGCATACCTCCAAGTCCACTAGAGCATGGTTGCAGAGGAAAGGCTGGAACATTTTGGAGTGGCCATCGCAGTCACCAGACTTAAATCCGATTGAGAACCTCTGGTGGGACTTAAAGAAAGCAGTTGCAGTGCGCAAGCCTAAGAATGTGACTGAACTGGAGGCCTTTGCCCATGAAGAATGGGCGAAGATACCCGTAGATCGCTGCAAGACACTTGTGTCAAGCTATGCTTCACGTTTAAAAGCTGTTATAACTGTAAAAGGATGCTGTACTAAGTACTAAGATTGAATGTCACTTGGGGGGTTGAATAAAACTGATAATGCTGTGAGCACAGAAAAGACATTTGTGGTTATTTCATTATAACTGTTATGTTATATTTGTCTGACCTACAAGTGCCTCTTTAATGTAAATGTAAGCAAGATGACTGAATGATCAAAAGCAATGTCAAACTGGCCAAAACACTCAATTTCAGTGGGGGTTGAATAATTTTGGTCACAACTGTACGTTATCCCTTCTTTTTCAGTATGTGGATGATGCCACTGTAATTATTTTAATTACAAAAAAATACTTTTTTCCTAATTGATATATAGCTGTCACATGACTCAGCTCTTTCCCAGCCTGTCTGCAGGGAACATAAGCAGGAGGAGCTTCTATTCCTCTGCTGCTGGTCACATACTCAAAATTAAAAAAAACACTGCCTTTGGGATACAATGTAAAAATAAATATTAGCAATAAACTGTTTTAAATCACATAAAATATATATTTGAAATCAAGTCTTTCTTTTTTGGCAATACATTGGTGTGGGTGGATTTCTGCCAGTCACATGCTGTCTCACGCCCGTCCAGACTGTGTCTTAGATTAGCATGGAGGTGAAGCCTCAATCAATGAAGATGTAATATCCCACCCCTATTGTGTTTAGCTGGTTAGTGGGCATGGAGGAGGAGGAAGGGAGTGGTCTGTCATTTATCACTGTTTATACACCCACATGTGTTGCTTAGATGTGATTGTGAGGAAATGCTCATCATAGAAATTCACTGAATACTGAGTATGTGTAGTAGCTGCCAACACTGCTCTGCAGAATCCCCAACTGCACTTTGGACATGAACAGAATGGGGAGATAGAGAACAGCAAGATTAACCAGGCTTTTTACAGAATGCAGAAAATGAATCCCATAGTGACTGAGTATGAACAGCATATACAGTAATACAGCATTTATTGAGAGTTTTTTATGATGTGGGTTTAATGACACTTTAATATAAATCAATGCCAATGCATCATTAAAAAAATCAGTGTGCAATGAAAGGAATATACCCTTAAAGTAAACCTGTTAGGATCCAGCAGGCCCAAGGAGGTTGCTTCATCTATAGGGAGAAGCTAACTCCCAGCAACTCCCGGAATCTTTCTTAATGGTGATCTCATATTGAATTAGAGATGTGGTGCAGTAACAACTTGACAATCAATTTATTTATGAAGCTGTGATGTGTATAGAAAAAAACAGCAGCTAGTATTCCTCAGACCTGATAGTCATGCCTAGGGCTGCATAGTGAAATCAGCAACATCCTCGGGAGAAAAGCAATACATGTACAGAATTGTGATAGTCTTATTCTTTTACATTTACCAGAAAACAGGATGAAAGAAAATTGTAATGCCCAAGTATGAAATATTGAAGGGTAAGATATAATAAAAATTCTGAATATATTTAATGATCTATATCAGCATGGGTGATGCAAATATGATTTTTTTCTATTCTATGTGATATAAAGATGGACTTACATGCTAATGCATTGTGACAGCTAGTTATTAGGGCATGCCAAGCCCCAACTCTCTTACAACCGTAAAATAATTTTCTTTTGGTCTTGATGTAGGTGTTCCCAAAGTGTACTGCATATCTCCTACAGGATAGCTCATTGTCCATTTGCCAGCTTGCTTTGCATGATAATTTAGGTAGTACTTCAGGCAAACCGCTAAATACGCAGTTGCTGTTTTGCATGGTAAAAGTTTGATAAGTATGTAGAGTTAATCTTCGGGATTTTCACAGTTCCATCATACCATACAGCATATGTTCCAGTTCAGCAATTCAGCTGTGATAAAGTAAATAGTTGAGGAATCCACAAATTATTACAGGTGTCTAACAAACAATCATAACTACAAACCAAAGACAAAGAAGGTGTGGCAAATAAGACACCAACTGAGGCTACCTTGTGCACATTTATTAGAAAAATCATAATGTCAAAACGTGTTATCCTCCACTGGTCTGTACCAAACCAAGAAAAAAAACTGTTCAAATCCCCTAAAACCCTCCCAACCCCCCAAAAAGTCATGACCCGCCACCAAAGGTCCCACCGTAGCAACCAATATAGATAGCACAGGCTAGAGAAAATCAGTAATTCAGTATCTTGTGTTATCCCTCACCCTCCAACTTGTTCACCGGTCTCTTAACCGCTAGCCTACCAGGCACTTATACCCCCTTCCTGCCCAGGCCAATTTCCAGCTTTCAGCACTGTCACACACTTTGAATGACAATTGCGCGGTCAAACAACACTGTACCCATATGACATTTTTATCATTTTTTCGTGACAGATAGAGCTTTGTTCTGGTGGTATTTAATCACCTCTGGGTTTTTAATTTTTTCTTAAACAAACCAAAAACCCACTGAACATTTTGAAAAAAAATGTTTTTTCTTAGTTTTTGTTATAAAATTTTGTAAATAAGTGATTTTTCTCATTCACTGATGTGCGCTAATGAGGCTGCACTGATGGGCACTGATAGGCTGCACTGATGGGCACTGATGAGGTGGCACTAGTTGGTGGCACTTGATGGGCATTGACAGGCAGCACTGATACATGGCACTGATAGGCAGCACCGATAGGTGGCACTGGCTGGCACTAATAGGCGGCACTGACTGGCACTGTTAGGCGGCACTGACTGGCACTGTTAGGCGGCACTGACTGGCACTGTTAGGCGGCACTGACTGGCACTGTTAGGCGGCACTGACTGGCACTGTTAGGCGGCACTGACATGCACTGATAGGCTGCACTGATGCGCACTGATAGGCAGCACTGACATGCACTGATAGGCTGCACTGATGCGCACTGATAGGCAGCACTGACTGGCACTGATAGATGGCACTGATTGGAAGCACTGATAGGTGGTACTGATTGGCATTGATAGGTGGCACTGACTGGCACTGATGGGTGACACTGAAAGGCAGCTCAGATGGGCACTGATATGTGGCATTGATGTGCACTGGTAGGCACTGATGGGCACTGGCACGTGGCACTGATGAGCACTGACATAAGGCACTGATGGACACTGACATGTGGCACTTCTGGGGCTACACTGATCATCAGGGCACACTGATCATCAGTGCCCTGATGATCAGTGTACATGTCCCCTCTGCGGAAAGCCAATTACCGGCTCTCCTCTCGAGCTGTCAGTGTGACAGCTCGAGAGGAGAGAAATGCCGATAACCGGCATTTCCCTGTTTACATGTGATCAGCTGTGATTGGACACAGCTGATCACATGACCGAGCCAACATCTTCGGCTCTTTCCATGATCGGTGATCCACTGTGTCCGAGGGACACAGCGCACCGCCGATCGCTACGCTGCGCGCTCCCTGAGCCGTGCATGGGCAGTAAGAATGGGAGGACGTCATATGACGTCCTCCCAGAACAAGAGAACAACCTTGCGCCCATCCTATTTCTATATGGCAGGCGGGAGGTGGTTAAAGAGGCAACTGTTGCTGATCAGAAGCAAAAAGTATCTGATATTTGTGGTTCTACCACCTTGTTGCTGCACAGGATTGGAAGGTATAGGTGTCATTGGATCACACCTGATGATATATACATAGCAGCTACACAGCCAGGCCTTACCCACCCTGCCAATATACCTCATTATTTAGCTTTGCTTTTTTGTGGAATTCAGTCAAGCCACACTCTTACAGTGAACAAAAGAAGTGTTTATTCACATCATACACGTGCATGGGCCAGTCCAGGGGAGGACTGACCACCAGTTGCTCTTTTACAATGGTTATTTATACTGTGTAAGAGACACAAATGTCTTTGGTCAACATTGTTACTGTATATGCTAGCAGCTTGTCACCATATCTAATTTAGAATAATTGACCAAGTATGGCATGTCACATTATAACTTGACAACAAACAAGGTGCAGGGCAACCTTTGACATATGTTCCCAAATGGTCATCTCGTAAAACATTCTTGCTTGTTTTAGCTACTTAAAAATGTCTCAAGGAGTTCACGACACAGGTTTGAACCATAATGTTTAAAGCAGCAGTTACAGTGTAGTTATGTATTTAATTGATATCTAAGGTCTACTTCCGGTTGGCCTAATGAACACCGGTACATTTTCTAGCCTATGACTCCAGTCTGTGTTTGCTCTGGTGCTCCTGCATCCCCATTACTAACTTTCTCCTGTACCTGTTTCTAAAATTGCCTGTGTATTACATATCATGCTCCGGTTCTATCCCTGCTAAGCTATCATCTATGCAGTTGTCTTGAAGGTCCGCAATCCTGATACACTCACCAGGAAAGTCCATCACTCATTGAGGGGTCCTCTGGTGAAGATCTGGCCATGAGTACTTAGACTGTGCACCTCTGCCCTTTTTAGAACTCCTACCTTCTCCAACCATACAGATAAAACACAGGGTCCACTATCCAGCTTGTTTGTGAAAGCACCAACTCTTTATTCCAAATGGTAGAGAGGTGATCCAGGAAGCAGTCAAGCTAATACAGAAAATGGAATATTGCACATCCTAGCTATGTAGCTTAGCAGAGTTGTGAAACACACAAGACTGGCTTTAGAGAATTAAAAATCTCTTAGCATACAAACCAATACACAAATACATATTTACATTTTGTGCAAATTAGCACTATCCAGTGCTAATATTTTGTGTTGCCTATTACCAAAAAAACAACAATCAAAAATATATACGGTATACAAATCACCAATTGAATAAATCATTCAACAGTCCAGTGTATATTTAAAGTGATCATTTGCATATGGTTTAAATGCCTGTAGTGCATTAGGATACAGCCGCTTATATTTGTGCAAAAGTCCTAGCGCTCGTGTATACCAATCTATTTCAATTTTAGTGGTTTGTACTGTTTTATCCAGTAAACCTTTATATATCCTTGATTAAGTAATGAAAATGAAGAAAGATGGACACTGCATCAACCTCCCCAGTAGTATAACGGTGTTGGCTTCAGCTGCCACTCCAGCCACGCCACTGACATGTTTTGCCCTACCCAAAAGAGTAAACAAACATGTCATACTTACCTGCTCTGTGCAATGGTTTTGCACAGAGCAGCACAGATCTACCTCTTCTGGGGTTCCTCACCAGCGCTTCTGGTTCCTCCTCTGCCTTTAGAGTACACCTGTAGCAAGCTACAAAGTATAGTATAGAGTGTTCCTATAGCAAGGTAATAAAGCTTCTACTTCCAGAATCACTCACTTCCTTCTCCTGCACAGGAATATCCCATAAAGCATCGCTCCTCGCACATTCACGTTTTCAGGCACTTACTGACGTGTAAAACAAGGAAGAGAGGGCACACCAGCCTAGTGTATTACCTGGGAAGTAACTTTATTAATACAAAAGAAGATGTATACTCATAAACAAATGTGGTAACAAAAGCTTATCAAAGTCCAAAGCAACCTGGTCACCCAGTCAACTCCCAAATGTGAAAAGACCCTCCAAATATGGGGCGATCCCATCTTCATCAGAGCCAATCTTGGATGTTGCAATACCTGTCTTAATAGAGGAAATAATTGAGGTCACATGATGTTGAACAAACTCCTCCAACTAGGGCGGAAGTGATGACCCAAACAATGTACAGCTGGCGACATCCTTAACATATACCAGATCACATTCTAAAATGGGCCTGTGCATGCTTCGATCATAGAATATAAATATATGTCTCCACACAAAAAATATTTAAAAACATATTTCTTTCACATAAATAAACCATAGAAACTGTATATAAATATGTACATCCTTACCGAACAAAGATAAAATAGATATAAAGAGACCTATTACCGTTAAGTACTCTTCCATGTATAAAAAGTAAAATTAATAATAGTACAAAACACAGGGCTTGATGTATATACTATAAAACGTGGCATCGATTACCCAGCAGGGTGCAGTGGATCTCTTGGAATGCAGCCATCCAAAAACCGGAAGTTCGGCATGGGCATGCGCTCCAGCCTCAACTTCCGGTCTCGGAGGAACGGCACTTCCGTTGACGTCACATCCGGTCATACAGACGCACCAAGGAGACCCAGAGATAGAAGAGCTGACAGGGACACCCTGCAAAGCAGGATGTGCCCTGTTTTTGACAAAGAAAATAGCCCTACTTAATCTGAAAAAATAGCAATGCAAATTCAGATTATAGATAATACTTAATAAATGATAATGGTAAAGTGCTGATAGTACATATTATTTAAGGTGCAACTCCTCCACTCATCGAGAATGTATTGCACAATATAGACAGAGCTGCTTTTGTTGTGACCCAATATAGAATGTGCAAATGAAATGTACATATAAATATATGAAACATGTTTAAAAAACATGTATACAATCTACATAAAGAATAAAAAATATTAGATATTAATAAACAAAGCCCAACAGAGAGGATCAAGAAATAACTGCTAGCTGAAAATCTATTGTAGGCTCACACACGTAATGAAGTGCAGCACATACGTGAGCCTACAATAGACTTTCAGCTAGCATGCGTGCATGCATGCAGTCATAGCTGCAGTTATCACTTGATTCTCTATGCCGGGCTTTGTTTTTTATTATCATTATTATTGTCTAATATGTTTTATTCTTTATGTGGATTTTATATATGTTTTAATATGTGTTATACATTTATATGTACATTTCTTTTTCTCAGGCCTATAGTACCAAGGGCAAGGTTTCTCCTTTCCCTGTCAAAGCACATTTTGCAAGGAGTGTCAGTGCTTCTTGGGCTATATAGTTTCAAGCTTCTGTTCTTCAAGGTCTAAGTTCTACCTGGTTGATGTTTCATACCTCTGTGGATGCCAGTTTTGGGTGAAACATCTTGCAAGTGGTCATGTAGTGGGGTTTTCTTCTATTTTAGGGGTTTGGGATGTTTTGGCCTTGTGGCTATGTTGGCTGCCCCTAATATTCAGTGCTTTGGTCATGCCAAGTTTTTGGGTTGGTAAGGCATGGTGCATAGAGCCAAAAGCAGAAAGAGTCCCAATTTGCCAAAAACGATGTATTGCAGAGCTAGTAAAACAGCACAACCAGGCTTGGCGGGGAGACTGAGCTTACAACAGTTAAGCACAGAGATAGCAGGATACAGATTCCAAGCTGCAGACAGTGTCTGTCACAAGGAGTGAAGTGCAACCTGGCTGTTCAGACCCAAAAGGGAGCTTCTTGAGAAGGTAGATGTAGTCACTACTCTTTTCCTACTCCATCGCAGGGGCGGACTGACCATTTGGAAACTTGGGCACTGCCCTAGGGCCGGGGGTCAGTAGGGGGCCCCATGAGATGCCCCTGGTACCTTTTTCATAGGATTTTTTGAGTTTGGGCAAGGACACAGGGGCCCCATGATCCCCTATTGCCCGGGGGCCCCATGAGTTGTCAGTCCACCCCTGCTCCATCGGTACCTAAAACATTGAGGTCTTCCATAGTGTGGTCTGGTTGTGCGAAATGGTGTCCCACAGGCGTGCAAAAGTCATCTTCTTTATGTTCCTTGATGGTATGTCTGTGCAAATTCATCCTTGTTTGCAACTTCTGTCCTGTTTCGCCCACATAAGATTCTTTAGTACACTTTCTGCACTGGATAAGGTACACAACATTACTGGAGGTGCAGCTGTATGATCTAGAGATATTGAAGATCCCTTTTGCGTGTCTGACACTTTTTGATGGATTGATTTGGTTGCACAGTTTGCAGCGTTTCTTATTGCAGGGTTTGCTTCCATTATTTGTGACCTCATAATCAGAAGGAAGTTTCCTACTGATTAGTTTATTTCTGAGGTTGGGGGGTTGTCTGAAGGCCAGTATTGGGGGCTGCTGGAATATTTCTTTCAGAGTTCCATCCTCTGTTATGATGGGTTGTAAATCTTTGTTTATTTTTCTTCTTCCTTCTAGTGCCGGGTTGTATGTGGTTACTAGAGGTACACGGTTGTTTGTTTTTTTCTCTTGAAGTACTGAAGTAGATTTTCTCTTCGGGTTCTCAAGGCTGTGTTTATCCTGGTGTTGATAGTTTTGTCCTTGTAACCTTTCTGATGGAAGGAGTCTGCTAGTGTCCCAAGATGTGTATCTCTGTCTCTTGGGTCAGAACATATTCGGTGGTATCTAATAGCCTGACTGTGTATGATGGCACGTTTCGTGTGTTGGGGGTGGAAGCTAGAACTGTGGAGGTAGTTGCATCTGTCAGTGGGTTTCCTGTATATTGAGGTGTGAAGTGTATCACCCCTGATGTATACTGTGGTGTCTAGGAAGTTGACGTGTGTTTGAGTATTCCATTTTTAGTTTGATTGATGGA